AAAAAAAAAAAAAATAGCTGGGTGTGGTGGTGCGTGCCTGCAGTCCCAGCTACCTGGGGAGCTGAGGCAGGAGGATCACTTGAGCCCTGAAGTGTGATGCTGCAGTGAACTGTGATGGGACCCCTGCACTCCAGCACGGGTGAGAGAGTGAGACCCAGGCTCAACATATTAATAAATAAACCAACAAACAACGGAATGTGAAGGAAGGTGGATGAGCAAGAGAAGGGGACATAAAGGCGCCTGTTGTAGTCAATATATTGCCTTTGTATAATAAGTGAACAATGGATTTTAGCTCATGGTCTTATTACCTTTGACATCAACGCTGCTCTGAGACTGGACTATCTGATTCATGCTAAGAGTCACGTATTGTTGAATATCAAACCAAACCAAAAATATGGAAAGCTGCCGGTACACCAGGGCAGCCAAGCATCCTATCAAATACTGTGCAGAGCCTGAGGTTCCTTATCTGGGGGTGTCAGGAGCCAAAAACACCGTCAAGAACCCAGAGGAGGAGGAAATGACCAGGCAGAACATGTACTTCACTCGCACGGACACTGCACCCGTCTTGCTTTCGTACAATCTAACAATGTGTCCAGACACACCAGCTGTTCCCCTGGCTTCTACTAATTCACAAGCCATGGACTGTAAGGAGGAGGAAAGTCACCAGCAGAGATGAGCACAGTGCCGGCATTGGGTGGGGACAGTGAATAGGCATAAAAACACAAATACACAAAAGGGTTGGGAGCCACCTCGTGTGCCAGAAACCCAGCTGCAACAAGTTCAGTGCCCCCAGGACTTCACTCTAGTGTCCTACTCTAACTGTGCTGGGGGGACATCAAGAAGGTGTGGAACAGGTCTTAGTAGAAATCAATAAACTAGACAGAAGAACTCCAGAGATTAGGAAGTGCTAATATAGGTAGATTCATTTTAACTCCCATTTTTACTATGTATGCTAAGTCATAAGTGATCATGGAACCCGGCCAAGGTACGTGGCACTCATATCCCATCTAAGAGATGGATAAGGAAAATGTCCTTCTGATGGCTGAGCTGTCAGCACAGAAAACTATTCACATAGCATTTGAATCAATTTCTCTCCAGAACAATACAGCCAGATGCTTCATACACAGGCCCTTGGTACCCTGGAAGAATGAACCCACCCTGGGAGTCCAAGCAGTTGATTAGGCAGCGCCCGGAGAATTGGAACATACTGTGAATTGCTCTGATGCTCTGTCAATGTGGAATTTAAAGATCCCAGACTTTAAATTAAATCCTAGACTGAGCTAGTAAGAAAAAAAAAATCACCAGTGCTGTTACCGGGTTTCATTAGAGAAACGTTGACTGGAAACGTTACTGAGGCTTTTTGGGAAGCTACACAGTCCTTGGTGTTACTCTTAGCACTCAAGACACAGCAGGACACAGAGGTTAATGAGACCACCTGGCCTTCAGGGCACTTCCACTCTGGTGAAATGAATGGCCTCAGAGATTCCTGGGCTAAGGATCTCTGAAAGCTATTTTTCACAGCCCTCAAACCTGAGACCAATAAATACTTGTGTTAATATAACAATAAAAGCCCACCAGCAACAAAAGTTCCTCTCTGCAAGAACCATCCAGATTGTTTTATGCGTGCTCTGGCTCAGCGTCTTCAACCTGTCCTGATGGAGGGAAGCCAGTAGGGAGGCAAGATGGGGCCTGGCCACGCCTGCCCCGGAATCCCCTGACAGGCCTGGCAGATTCAGCAGGCACAGCCAGTGGGGAAGAGGGAATTCAATAACCGTGTGGTCGTGAACTTCCACTTTCTCCAAGGAACAATCAGATACAGAACACAGACATCACGCCCATAGCCAGCCCGAAGAGGTGAGCCCTAGCACAAGTGAACTAAGTGAACCTCATCCATGATAACCCCAGATGAACAAGCTACCCACACGCAGAGACACTAGCCCTAAGGAGCAGCTCGATAGGAAGCCACAAAACGACTTGAGAGCCCTGAAAAGCTTGAGAAGATTGAGTAAGCAACACACACACAAATGACCAGGATAAAGTGCTGAATTTAAGAAGCAGACCATAAAATGCAAAACTCCTTAGTAACTGCGCCATGTTCACTCAACACGCATGCGTTAGGGACTGAGCTTTCTGGTGGGTAGGTTTGGCCAGAGTGCCTTTGTAAATGGCACTGGAAGACCATAAATGCCACCGGAAGACCATAAATGCCACCTCCACTTCAGGTCAGAACCTGATTTTCTTGAGATTTTTCTGGGGGATAAAATGGAAAATAGTACTTCTGGGTTTGACAGTTATGTCCCAAGCCATGACAGAATTAAGACTCTCTAACAAGGAGGGGACAGAGGGACTATGCTCAGCCTCCAAAATGATGCCTCAGGGAGAGTGACTGCATTATGTATGCTCAGACAGCCAAAAAGCTGTGCCTCAGCCTCGGTCATGGGTAATGTTCAGCAAGTGAGAACAGTTTGAGATAGATCTCCCACTCCTAGGCACTCAGACAGAACCAATGGCAAAATCTCCTGCCCAGACCTCTCCTCTGAAACCTAGATCATCCCACTGCCTACTGATATCTTGATTTCCTTGTCTACCAGGCACCTTGAACTTGAATGTCCTGAGCATTACTGCCCCTGCCCTCACCTGACCCCTGTTCCTTCCATTTCATTCCTCGTCTCCATAAATGGCAACTACTTCTTCCAGTGGCTCAATCCCAAATCCTTAGCTGTAGCCTTCACTTCTATTTTTCTTGTATCTTATGTCCATCTTATAGCCAACCTATGGGCTCTGTCTTCAAAAGATATCAGAATCTTACCAACACCTTAATCTCTCTGCTGTCCTCTCTCAACAGGGTTTTTCAGGCTCCTACCAGCTAATCTCCCTTATCCCAGGGTCTGTTCTTCATAGAGAAACCGGAAGGAATGACCCATTTAAAACTATTACATTTCTCTCTTCTTAAAACTCTCCCCTGGATGTTCTACACCATCTGGAGTAAAAGCTCCAATCTCACCCACCTACAAAGTCCCATGTTCTGTGGCCCCTCCAGGCCTCCAGACAGTTCTTTGACCCCATTTCTTGCCCTGCCCCTCACTCTCTCCACTCAAGCCACACTGAATGGCACTGACCTTGACCAGCACCTGCCACACTGATGAGTAAGGCAGTCTGTGCCCTGTGAAGCTCTGGTCCCTGCTGTGTCCCCAGTACCTAGATTTTAGGTCCTAGATTAGAACAACACCCGGGACCCAGCAAATGCTCAGTAAATACTAATTAGTTGAATAAATGAATAGATGGATGAATTAGAGGGGTTTTAGCCATTAATATCATGTTCATGAGTTCAAAACATAAACTGTCACTCATACTATAAATAAGAGGAACATCGTTCTTTATCTCAATGTATCACTTTTATCCGTAAAAACTATGACTGTTAAGAGTCACTCACTGGTAGCCCTGGAGAGCCTTTAGCACCAGGAAGGCCTGGGTCACCCTTTTCTCCAAGCCAGCCAGGGATCCCCAAGTCTCCTTTACTCCCTGGCCTCCCGGGAAGCCCTGGAGGCCCAGGGGGGCCCCTGGGAGCAGGTTTGCAGGCACAGGGACCTTGATTTCCTAGACAGAGGATAAAAGGAAGATTTGTCATATTTCCTGAATAAAATTCCCAATAAGAGCTTTATTATACAAAAGTAGCAGTGCAAATAAAGAACAAAGGGGGTCTGATGTGCACTACTCTCGAGCAGACAATGATAACGTGATGTTGCATGGGGTGCTGCGGGCATGGGCCATGTGGGGCCGGGCATCAGTTCTAGACACAGGGAGGGTTTTGGTCCCTTACGAACTCATCCTGACAAATTCTAGGGGAAAAGCTCATATCCAATTCTACTGAAGAAACTTTAAAAATAAGAAAACTTTTTTTTAAATTGCAGGTTCATGTGAGGGTATAAAAGACCAAATCACAATATTTCAATGTGTTAGGTAGAGTCTCTCTTGTAGCTGTGTCCTGCACCCAAAAGGTGCGCCATGCGCCAGCAGGGCATACCAGGGGCGGCGGGTTCAAACTGGGCCTGATTAACAAACTTTTTACTTTTAAAGACTTAAAAGTCTCGTTTGATTCCTACTGAAGAAACTCAGAAAATTGGTTAGAGCATAATCCTGAACAATTGAATAAATGAAATACAATGTGAAGAAGGACTGTCGACCATCACATATTCCCATTGATAATTCACCACAACACGTGCTCTCCTTGTCAGGGCTTTTTGTTTTAAGAAAGGTGGTCCCCTGTGTTCATGCCCTCACACCCACCCTGATTCAGTTGCCCAAAATGCCTCCAAGCAATTTGGAGTAGAGAAACGTAGAGTGACAGGCATTTGATGAGTCTGGGAAATATGGGTCCCACAGAGAGAAACTGAAATCAAGGGTCAGTGCTGTCCTCTCTCTGACCCTCTGGTAGAATCAACAGGATCTCCTGAGCAAAGTCGCCTGGGGAGGCAAACTTCACAGCTGCTGTGTTTCCTTCACAGTCTAAGGGAGAAGAGTTTGACTTTCCCATGACTTTTTTTTCCTAAGAGAATATTGGCATTTTTTAACTTAATTTTTATTAAATCATAACTGGATACATTCATGGGGTGCAATGTGATGATTTCACATACAATATGGAATGCTTCAATCAAGCTGATTAACATAACCATCACCTCACTTATTTGGGGGGGTAAGACATTTATAATATACTCTTAGTTGTTTTGAAATGTGCCCCTGCATTGTATACATTAGGTGAGATCCCGACAAATACCCTCCCTCCCCTCCCCCTCCCCCTCCTCTTCCCTCCTTCTTTGTGGACTAGATTTGTGTTTTATCATTCATATGAAAGTGTAAGTGATCATATATTGGTTTCATAGTGGTATTGAGTACATTGGATACTTTTTTTTCCATTCTTGAGATACTTTAGTACGAAGAATATGTTCCAGCTCCATCCAGGTAAACATGAAAGAAGTAACGTCTTCACATTTTTATGGCTGCATACTATTCCATGGTGTACATATAGCACAATTTGTTAATCTATTCATGGGCTGATGGGCTTTTAGGCTGTTTCCACGACTTGGCAATTATGAATTGGGCTGCAATAAATATTCTGGTGCAAAAGTCTTTGTTGTGAAACGATTTTTATTCATCTGAGCAGATGCCAATTAATGAAAATGCAGGTTCAAATGGTGAGTCAACTTTTAGCTCCTTGAGAATTCTCCAAACTTCTTTCCAAGAAGGCTGTATAGTTTGCAATCCCACCAGCAGTGTAGAAGTGTTCCCTTCTCTCCACACCCATGCCCACATCTGCAGTTTGGGGATTTTCTGATGTGGGCTAACCTTATCGGAGTTAGGTAATAACTCAAAGTGGTTTTGATTTGCATTTCTCTGATATTTAAAGATGATGAGCATTTTTTCATGTGTTTCTTGGCCATTCGTCTGTCACCCAGATGAACCCAGGCACACACAGATAGTCAATTTGATCTTTGATAAGCCTAACAAAAACATACATTGGGGGAAAGATTCTCTATTTAACAAATGATGCTGGGTGAACTGGCTGGCGACCTGTAGAAGACTGAAACTAGACCCTCACCTTTCAGCACTAACAAAAATTGATTCTCTCACTGGAGTAAAGATTTAAATTTAAGATATGAAACCATAAAAATACTTTTCATGACTTTTAATCACATCTTAACACATCATGAAATGAAGTGCTCCTGGGGTTGACTAGGTGAGTAACAAACGTGAGCCCAAGGCCGCATTGTCCATCTCAGAATCCCCCACCATCCAAACGTGGTTGTCCTCTGGAAATTCTGCCTTGATGCACACTCACCTTTTTCTCCTTTTGAGCCTCTTCCTCCTGGAGGACCCACTTTGCCTTTTATTCCTTTTGGTCCAGGGAACCCAGGACTACAATATATCACTGTACGGGGAGGGGGGATGGGAGGAGAGAATCACATATTTTTTGTGTCTCTAGCACACACAGCTTCCTCCCTATGTCCCTCCTCAGTTCCATTCTTCATTCCATTCTTTTCCTAGAATTCACCCTCTGTACTATAAGAATACACATGCATATAGACCATGCAATGGTTACAGCATGTTTCTGCTACCTAACTACCAATAAAACATCCCTGATCTCAGCCCTAAGTTAATAGGGTCAAAACAAGATAATGAGCAACAAAATAAACAACATGCCCAGAACAATACAGACAACAAGAGGAATAATGAAACCCTCAGTCGGTATATGGCAAATATTATTTCCCTTCCATTATCAATCATTAGCTAGTGAAGAGAATATAAAATCAGGGCTTATAAGAGCAAAATTTCAGAGATATCCAGTTAAAGATGACAGATAAAACCCAAACAATAAATTCTACTTTCTCCCCAAATCCCAGTAGAATAAAAGACACTAAAAGAATATTATGAAAAGGCTCAAATTTTCAAATCTGCAGGACAATGAAAAAGGCAGAGAAACCAACAGCAAACAAACAACCAAAAAAAAGGAACAGTATTTAGTTGACCCTAAATAAGCTGAATTTGAAGGAGGCAGTAGGGAAAGCTTAGAAAGACTCTGATTTACATCAGAAATGTCCTCTGGATGCAGAATGACGCTGAGGTCAAAATGAGATGACTTGTTACCAACAACAACAACCAGTCCCCATTTTGTAGCAAGAAAACATGACAGGTCCTCCTCCCAAAAGTTGGAGGAAACAGATAAGGCAGCATGAATAAGCCTTTAAAAGAAACAACATAACATGATTTAAAAAGCAGATGAGAGAGGGTATTTTACTCCTGAAGCATGAACAGGCCACTGCAGAAGGAAGCATTGAAAAAGAACAACAGTAATGACAAAATCCTTGGGGGGGGGGGGAGATACACACACTCAGATTATAATAGCATAATTTTAAAGATTCAGGAGAGTTGTAAGATGGAGTTGAGGAAATCTCCCCAAAAGTGTTCCCACTGAGGGGTCAGAGCATTGTCCCTCCACATAAACACCTACCCACATAGACAAGCACCTTCAGAAGAGCTGAAAATCAGGTGAGTGGCCATACTACTTGCTTTAAAATTATATCAAGGAAGGAAGCACCGAAGAGGGAGAAAAGACAGCCTGGCACAGCCTCACCACCTCTCCCCGCTCAGAGCTGCACCAGCTCACCAAGTGGAGAGAGTCTGTGTGCCTCAGGAGGGAGGGTGAAATGATTACAGGGTTTAGAATTGAAACTTAGGGCCACCCTGGCACAGGGAAATCCAGCACTGGGCAGAATTCTGTTGGTGCCCTTGGAGGGAGCATTTTGACCAGCCAGACCAGAGGGAAGCCCTTTACCCTGGAGCCCTGGTTCCCCCTAGCCCCACCACTGGCAGGAAAAGAGCAGCCTGAGTCCTGAACTAAATTTGTCAGGCAGTTGGGCCACAAAAGCAGCAGTCCTGTGCAATTCTTGTGGCTGTGCCAGCTCAGAGCCAGCAGAATTGGGGTGCACGTGACACAATGAGTCACCAGCAGCTGTGGCCAAGCCAGTCCTTATCACCCTCCCCAGCCACAGGCAGTGCAGCTCAGGGAGAGCCTTCTCCCACTTGAGGAAAGGAAAGGGAAACATTTAGAGGACTTTATTTTGCAACCTGGGCGCCAGCCAAGCCACAGTAAAATAAAGCACCCAGCAGGTTCCCAAAACCTCTGAGTGGAGCCTTCATTCCTAGACAGCATCTCTGGACCCACTCTAGGCCAAAAGGAAAGTGCTGCCCTGAAGGGAAGGACCAGGTTGGGCAGGATTCACCACCTGCTGACTAAAAAGCCCTTGGGCTTGGAAGGAACATCAGGCCTCAGGCTATGGGTGAAACCGGCTGACCTGGTGTGACCTAGCAATGGTGGCCCCCAGGGAATATGCAGGTCACTCTTCCCCCAACTCCAGCAGCCTAGCACAGAGAGTGAGTAAACACAGTGAGAGGCTTTGCCTGGTAATTCAAGGAATTATCTGGTTTGTATCTTACCCACCTTCACCAAGGCAGTACTGCCAGGACCCTGTAACAGTCACAGCATTACTGGACTTGCCCCGCCCCCACTCCAGTGCTGATATGACTGCAGTGACCAAAGGCTTAGCTCACAACACTCAATTCCCTTTGAATATCTGGAAACCCTTCTCAAGGAGGACAAATAAAAAAAATAGTTTCAAAAACATAAAGAGGTGGAGAGTAATGAGTAAAGATTAAATGAATAAATGTTTAGGATTAGTTTTGTAATAGACAATAGAGTCCATAAAGAGAGAAAATGAAAAAAATGGAGAGAATGTCTTCAAAGAAGACATTCAAGAATTTTTGTAGAATTTTTTCCAGAAATGAAGAATGAGTGTTGGATTAAAACTACATATGGAGTGCCTATAAACAAACATACATGTACCTGCATAAAGGCAAATCAATGTGGAATTTAAGACACTGAAATCAAAAATAGCTCTTGCGTGCTTCCAGAAAGAAAAATAGATTT